ATTTCCTCAATAAAATAAACGGCCTTATTCATTAATTTTTTGGGTCATTCTGCATAAATAATTCTAAATATGGCGTCATTCACAACAACCATACACATCGAAACATCAAAGAACACAGTGGACTGTTAACGGCTCGTCTGCTAACTATCGAGGAATGGATTTTGGATTGATACAAATTAATGCATTATTCTAAGAAACCATAAACTCAGAAAAGGAAGCGGAGACCGCCAACGATCAGAATTTACAATTACTTCTGTTTATTTGTTAATTTGACTCGTTTTTTGAATGCAAAAAAATATTTCTTATTATTATGTAATTAAAGAAAAAACGTGAGATTCTTAATACAAAAAAAAGTGGTCCAAGGTTAGTTACACCCCCTGAAGTACAATCCAACAGTTTTAACTTCTTTGAAAACTTATGAAATACAGAGATATGTATGGATTGCTAAATATGGGAGACCAGTCACAGTGTGAGGAAAAAAAATGGATATAACGAACCCTGGGCCTTTCAGATGCAAAGCTAATGCGCTTGCGACTGAGCCACGTTTTTTATGGTTGGTATTGTGTATTTGAAAACCAGCTTTACTAGGAAAAATATTAAATAATAAAAATTATAATAACAAACAAAACTAAGGCAAATTCATAAACCACAAATTCGAGAGTACTATGTTACGAGTATTTTATAAAATTTAGACAACCTTAACTGCGCAAAATAATGAGGGGGCGTCAACAAATGTTGGTGGGGATCATTAGACAAATTTTGGTTAGCGTTTTACCATCTACACCAACTCGTAACATATTTACTTATAAAATTTCACAAAAATTCGTACAAAACTTCCGGAGATTACCTGTCTAATAAAAATCGATACAGACGTCAGACAGACGGAAATACGAAACCTAGTTTTCCTTAGGGTCGTGGAACCTCGAAAAAACATGTAATCTCTGAAACTGCTGTACCGATTGTTGTCAAATTTTATATGTATATTAGAAATATGTAGATGGTTAAATGCTAACCAAGATTTGGCTAATCATCCCCACCAACAATTCCATGACGGTACGAATCCGCTATTTTTTTTCGCCAAACATTCTAATTTTCGAAAAAACATTTGCAAGGTATAATAACGTTTTATTCCCGACACGGTTTGAACCGGTGCGGTGTATCGCCTGCGGTACTGCGACTGTCGTTCGATGCCGAACTTGACCTTTCCTTTTTTTTCTTGCATTAGTATAACGCTGTGACTACTTTTCATTCATTATGTTGCGACTAGAATTATCATGTTGATGACATCATCACATATTTAGTATTTGTCAAATTAAGAACGCGTCACCCTTTTTTCTCGAAAATGCGAAGAATACGCAAGTCTTTATATAATAATGATAAAATAAGGATTATAATATTCAGAACATATTCAATTGTGGTTACATTAATAATTTTACTCCTGTTTTGAGAAGACAAACTCTTTCGAATCGAACTAACTTCTACGTGACATTCTTTCGATGTATAAACATAAACAAACACTTGAGTTTTAGATTGTTATTACCTACTGCTGAAGAGCAAGGGGTGTTTCTTTGCTTCTGGTTTTTACTTTACAGCGATTATCACAAAACGAATATCGTAAAATCAAATTTTATATTTATTTGAAAAAACTGGATTTGTCGAATTATACTTATAGTCTTCGACCAATTTTTATTGATCAAATTAAGAACCTCAATCAAAATATATCTGTTCATTCCCCCTGAAAAATTGGTGACCATCAGCTCAAAATTTTGCCGAATAAATTCTACCCAAAATGTGCAAAGTATGATGAGTTTTTACTTGTGATTTATCATTGCATTCATATTTTCTAGAATTGTTTAAACAGGTGGCTCAAAAAATTAATGAATGAGACAATTTATTTGATTGATTAAATCACGAACGGTTCACTCCATTTTCCCAAACATTTTAGGAATACAATACAGTTATTTTTAGAATTACACTGGACCAATCCAAGTTGATGCACGTGTCCTTGCAAAAATGTTGATGACGTCGTCACAAAATTGTGTAAAGAAAAAACTCAACTCGAAAATGCTGGATATGTTTCATTGTACTTCAGGAGCGAGGGAAGTTCTGTCGAAACAACTTCCGACCAATTTTTTGGAACTGTGTAACAAGTAAGGTGCGAACAGGATTGATTCATTTAATTTAGTAAAACTGTAGGGTAAATGTGTACAAGAGTACGCACTTAGTGTAAAACTGTCAATAACTTTTTAATTTTTTTGGATGGACAAATTTTATGAAAAGGGGTCATCATATACATGTTTAGAGATCATATATATTTAATTGTAGGTCCCAAGACCACTATATTTTAAGAGTAATTTCAATTTTTGTCAAGATGTGTAAATGCGCACTCTTAGACAGTTCACTGCACAAGAGTGCGCATTTGAACGCTTACCAGTGCGCATTACATTTTATGAAAAAATCTTTGTTTCTAAGGTGAAAATAAATGGGGACAAGTGACTACAGACTACACATACAACGGGATCCATATTTCTTCGTACTCTAGGGGTCTTGAAATTCGAGAAAACGTAAAAGTAGAGAGTCGGTCGACGGACTTGATTACAATACTTCATTCGCTTACGCTCAGGAAGTAAAAATTAAAAAACAAACATCACCATAACCACCACCACACAATTTGAGAAGCAGTACAAAGTAGTAAAGTTTAATAATTCATTATAGTATCATATGTATCTACAAGACTACGTATCGCAAGTATTGCGCATTCTTATACAATACCTCACTGCGCACTCTTGTACATTTGTACATAACCTAATGTTTTCAAAGTTAAAAGCTTTTGATGGATAGAAAGTATAAAACTGCTAGTGTATAACGACACCTTAAAAGTTACAGCTAATGAAAATTATTACTGTAAAATAAAAGAACTGATACGTACATTACAAAAAACTAAAACTATGAGCGGTAAAAATTACATCCACACAACGTGTAAACATAAAATCGTCAGTACGATCAAACTATAAATTATATACAGGTCACTTTTGCACCTTTATCTCAAGTTTAGCATTGGATTGTGAATGGTATAACTTCATCTTACCCAAATGGCACTAATAAGCAGAAATCATCAGTGCGTACTCTTATACATATTCGCACTCTTGTACACATTTACCCTATGTAATTTTGCGCTCTACACACATTTTCACACCAGAAAACTGGCAACGTATCAGAAAATAATTAAATAAATTAGTGTTTACTGAAAAATACATTCGCAAATTAGCGATGAATTATTGATTGTGTTTCTAAGTCGAATCAATTCTGCATTTTTACATATCTAGATAAATGTCAAAAAATTAACAACTAGTAGGCAGTATCATATTTTCCCTTGAGGCGAACAATACGAGATTGTTCATTACATCAGCAAATAAATGCAAATTAAATATTAAATTACAAACAGAATACTGTCTAGTGAAAAACAATTTTACGTTGTGTACACAAATAAGTTCACCCGAATATGTCAACACATTCATGCATCATTAACAAGATAAATCGTGGAAATGAGCAATATTTCACAACAACAGGCGTCGTTGCAAACAACTTTTGGTACACTGTTAATGGAATGGAAATTGTACATATATTTCTTTTAATTTTAATATCAGCAGTGGGATACCAAAACTATGCTTCTCAAAGTTTCTCTGTTTGCACTAGTCATCAGTTATTTGCGTTGAGATTTTATTAAAAGATCATAGACAGAAAAAAGTCCTACAGTGACGATTTTTCCGGCCACAAAAGCATATTTAGTAAGTAAAGAGTGGACTTCTTGTGTTTTATTTTATTGCTAATTTATTAAATAACTTTAATGTTCAAACCAACTACTGAACATATAACCATAAAAAATATGCAAATATTGTAAAATAAATAGGCCGCCCCAGCAGGTACATAAAAGGATTCGATCCTTAAGCAAACCAGGGAGGCTAAATTCAAAGGCCCATCCCAACGCGGTTATTTACAATGCTTACAGGAAACTCTTTGTCCTCCTAATTGTCGTACTGTTGACTCAAAAGTCATATTCGGCTAATTCCGTAGCGAACGATATTGTGATTTGTTTTATACCCGTGTTTCATAATATTTTACTCTCTGCCATGGAAAAATCATAGTAAAAAAATATTTGGTCATGCCATTCAATCCCTGTTCGTAGAGCAGCTATTACGTGCAACTATCCCAAGTGATTCTAAATGGCATCACGTAAACGATATCTGGTTCTTTTCTAACCACTATTAGACAGTGTCACAGGGAAGCATAAATTTTAGAATGGTGACTAACACACATTCCTTTTGAAACGAGATAAAGAGTGGGACTTGAGCCAAAATAAACTTTCACACTATACGATAGTATATAAAACGTTTTGCTGGTGGTGCAATGTCTCCCAGTGCAACAAATTTGGCCACAAAGTTAACTTTTAATAGGCTAAAACGATAATACAATTTGAATATAGCTCCTATACTACAGAGTCTAAGACCAAGAGATAAGACTCAGTGACACCCCACTGCTGAATATTCAAATTAACTCAAACTGTACACCAACCGCAAAGTAAAACTTGGAGGGAAATTAAGGCGAGACTTTCTCGTTCCCTACCAGAAGCGATTCATCATATTATTTGGTCTGTTTTTTCTTTATCTCAACTTCTGAAATTAACGAGCCCATCGAATCCTCCGACATTTTGATTTAATAATAAACTGTTGCACTGCGCATATTTTAGCGTCGAGCACCGATATTTCATTGTCGCCCTTCATGCTTTATTTTACAAAGTAATTGCAGAATCACGCGTGACAACGTGCCAAGCTGCGAATAAATAAATCCGGCGCGAGGAAATTCTGAGCGGAGTTATCTGTTGGCGAAACTGGCAATTGAAAACGTTGTTTCTTGCCCTGATGTATAAATAATGCCAGCCGGGTAATAAATGGCTTTTATTTGACGTATTACTCGGGATAAACGTAATGATGCAAACTCACCCTAGTATTATTTCGTTCCGCTTTAAGCTCCGATATTTCTTCTTCCCTTTCCAGAAGCTGCTCTCTCGCCGCATTGAGTTCCTTCGTGAGCGTTGCGAATTCCTGAAACGGGATATGACATTATTAACAAGCTTGATCGATATAAATAGCATTGCATTATTCGTTTCTCCTTAAATTACTTTGTCTTGGCTGCTATATAGCTTTTAATAAAGACAAAGAATAATGATTAAAAATATTAGCAGAACCTGCACAGTTGCCGTCTAGCCCTCATATTTCAAATTAATTGCGGCCACTATTTCATTTTGCTGAAACCACAAAGCATCTAATCAGATACAGACCTGCGGTTAGCGAAACGGTTCATAACGCACAACATGATAATAAATAATCAGGACCAACCAAAAATACAATCAATATTTTGATGTTGATACAAGCAGTACACAGCAGCAGAAAAAATGAATTATTCATTTTTCACGAACACACATTGTTTTCTTCGACTAAATGAAAATTAAACATTAAAAAACACCATGCGCTATATTTTTCGTCGTTCTACTCCAAAGTATACGAATCCATCTACATGTAAATCGATCAAAACCTTCCTCTTATTATATATGTAAGGTTGCGGTATGCATACATTTTTACAACACTGTAATCACACTCTTTCATTCAACCTTAATTCAACAAGTCGATCCTTTACTAACAGCATCGTAAAAAGCTAGAAAATTTCCACAGAAGATCGAAGAATCTGCGATGACGTAACCTCTCTCGGAATTAAAAAGCATTTTTCTGGCGGTATGGGTCCCCTTTCAACACTCCATTTCAATTATCATCAATCACACAGAAAAAATTACTCAGGACGCGAGAAAATGGAAAAGGTAGCCGCTCGCGAGAAAGCAAAGTAGCATGAACCATTAGGGAAGTTGCCTAATTAATTTATAAAAAAAAGTCTTCGGAAATGACAAAAGTTGCCTGCAATATTGATGTGCGTGAATCAAGAGAATCTTTACTATCTCTGGCACGTTCTTCCACTGGCACATGTTTCATTTGCGCTTCATCATCTCCCAAAAGCAGTCTTTTATTAATTAGAACGCGTCGTGATTTGAATAGAAACATCACCAGGTCGATTCGCAATTCGGTCAGGAATCGAACCAACCATAGACAATTTTAGTTGTAGAATAGAGCGTACATATTTGCTGGGACGAAGATTACAAAGACACAGAAAGCATGCATACACTAGTCTTGTAAAAAAAAAATAATTACGGTTTCGTGACACCCATGGTGTGTATTCAACAAATAAAATCGACTTTAGACATCGCATTACCAATTCAGGAGCATTATGGTTATGTGGTAACCACTAAATCATATTTGTGTAACCATAAATTACAATAGGGTATGTTCTCCTCTAAATGGTATATCGATAATGTAGATATTTTCAGTTGACCGGGCTCCCGCGCGCTGTTTGTTAGCCGATTATTAATCTCTGAAGGTAATAATGGGTGAGAGATTTATTGCGGTTTAGCACAGGCCGCGACTCAAGGTCCAGACCGCATTAAATCTAGCCCAGAACCCCCAGCAAACGACTACAATTTATATTAGAGAACCATTTAGTGCCCGCTTGATTGAATTTACGATTGCAATCAATAGCACCTCTGCGGAAAGCAAAATACGGCCAAAGAACAAAATTAAGCCAGCAAAACTGGATAAAATTTTCCCATAAAAGCAAAATTAATAAATGAAGGTTTATACAATAATTATCCATATATTCTAATAACTTAAAAAAAAAATAGAAGATCCACATATCCACATGGTAAAGAGAAGAAAAAAAATTCGTTTTCTCAAAGCAAATCAGAATGTTTTGCATGTTAAAGTCGCGTTTATTATATAAAATTATTTAGTATATTTTATCATCAATAATACTAGCAGATGAAGATAAAATTATAAAAATCTCTATTGATGTAATATATGTGAATCAGATATTAATTTACATTCTTTTTTTTGTTGTGGAACGTTGACGAATCCATAAAGCAACCTTTAATAAAGCCGAAAATGTATGCCAAATCCCGTAAGCCACAGTAAATGAGAATGACTGACATTTTATGATGCGGGTCGTTTTTCTGGATTAACGTAAATTTTGATATTGAACATCATACACATTTATTATTCAATTTTTGTACACACTTACTGCTCCGATGATATAATAATTGCAGCAATTTTTATATTGTAATATTAAAATTTTAGTGTTATATCAAACTGATTTATCAGAATTAACGAAAGCTAAAATATATTGCATTTTTACATTTTGGTTGGGAGTGGACCGATTCGAAATTGTTTTAAAACGCTTCTTGCGCTTTTGAATGTATGGAGGTTTAGTATCTTCTCGTCGTTTAAAATTTATTTCTTCAAATAAACGAAATAATGCCTCAGTTTACAAAAAACGTAGGAACTATCTCCATATTCTCTTGAACTTCTCGATCTTTCACGTGACTCCTAGGGGAAAACCAGACATCTCTGCGTTACGTCCTCAATAAAAGGTTTTAAGAAGCGAACTGTCCATTCTTATCCTTTCAAAAGAAATATATTCCTTCGGTATTAAATTTCCTTTGAGCTGTAGCGTCGAGAAACTCTACTTTATCGACTACACAGAATTTTAATTTCTATTATGGAATTTTAAGCTACTCGAGTCCTCGTCCGGAGAAATAACAATGCTTTATCGACATCAAAGCGCCCCAACTTCCTAAAATTAATGTAATAATAAAAAATAAGCAATTCTGTAATGCGCTGAAAAAAAAGGTTCAGTGAACATCTAATTTCGGCGTGACGTTAATGAGCAACAGCCTTCGTCTTGTAATTCCCCATCGCCATTTTTCAGGATAAATCTCCAGTAGCGTGCAAAATTAAACCCAAACAAATAACCCTTTACAAAGTTGAGTTTAGAAACTCCGATGATGCTTGCGTGTCAAAAATACGGTAAACACACCGGGCGCAACTATTAGGTAGAGACCATATTCAAATCTCTGGAGGATAGAAGGAGCTAATTGGTGAAATGGAATTGACGTTAATTAGAACGGGTGGTTGAGAGGCTTCTCGTCCATTCGCCGAATCCTCACAATTCGGCAACTGTTGCTTTGCGAACTGCAACAGCCAATAGACGATCCATGCAGATGTTCTCCTCTGGGACTCAGATCCCCCTTTATCTGTTTATCTCAAAATTAGCCAGCACGTGCCTCTTTATTAGGAATTATTAGACAACGTAACAACATTTTGCCCCCAATGGAGTCTTCGATAATGGTGGTCGTTGAGAGGATTCTGTTGGAAGTCTTAGGAAAAACAATTTTGACTTTATTGTAAGTACACTTCGAGCATATCGAAATTTAATAAATACGTCATTGTTTATTAAACTTTTTAGAATTTTTAAGGTAGGGGGAAGGTTAAGGAAAGCCCCCAACTCCGACCCTCCGGAATTTATATTGGCTAATTTTCATATTTTGCCCAAGAAAGCTGGAACAGCGGGATGGTATTTGTAACATTGTGCAATTTAATTTTATCTCAGGAGGTGGTTTCATATAATTCAGTTATTCGCTCGACAAAGTGATGCGACTCCGAAGTGCTAGACTTTTTTCTTCAATATGATGAAGTGAGACTTTGCTAAATGGTGAATAAATTTAAAAAATGCCAACCGCAACGAAGTTCTGATTGCCTACTTCGAAAATATTCGCTTGATTTTTCTTTATCTATAAACCTGCAGGCTCATCCATGTGCCGCGGAAGACTTTCATTTTCCCACGAAACTCGGTGGTGTTATTATGTAAATCCAAAGTGAGTTCCGCAAGTGCTTGTCTATAAAATGCGGGAAACTACGTTATCCTCAAGTAAGTACGTAATATTGAATACTCCTTGCTTTGACGTTGACTCAAAGTTTTTATGAGGATTTGTGAGCAAGTTGAACACAGTGCGCAAGTGTAATAATCTAAGTTCGTTAACCGCCTACAGCATGAATTTGCGGATAGTTCGAATGAAATTCCGTAATTACGCCATTGTGGTGCACAACAAACTTCAGTTAACATAGTTGAAAACACTAGTCGTTAGACCCTTGCACACGGAATTACTGTTTATTATAGCGGTCAATGTAAACCATCATTTTCAGTTTTTACTTGATAATGGACATTATATATCAATTTACTGGCTATTATCTGCCGCCAAAACGCTAATACTGACGTAAATTGGTTCAATCTAACGTACCAATACAAAAATAAATTGAATTTCCAGACGAAAGCAATACATTCCGCCTTTATCTCCCTTGCACTTCAACGAAACTATATTAATTTAATAAAAAGACGTCCACAACTAATTTCAGAACCCTGCCAAGAGCATGACAAAAAGACCACTGTTAATAATCGGCTTAGGTCTCATCCATTCCACAAATTTTTAACTCAAAATAAAGCAAAATTTCATAAAACGAATAAACCAAACATTCTCCAAAATAGATCCCAACCGGTGAATTCCGCAACGCAATTTCTCTCCAGTAATATGACAGCCGTGTAAAGACAAGTTTGCGATTTACGAAAGTCAAATACAGAAGTCCCTCGCACATCACTTTCCCCCTCTCTGTGAACAATATACACATTTCTAACATATGTTACGAAGTCAATATCGGCCATCGGAAAAGTGCCGACTCGCCCGTCCATCGAATGTTCCTTATGACTTTTTATTACGAGAAATTTTCGATTCTTCCTTCGCTTTTTTATTATTGGTCGGCGAACTTTGATGGGGCGTCAAAGCCAATTTTCAGAGTGGCATTTTCTCGGAGAAAATGCGAATTCGCACACAATCGGTTGCGCTAGAATGACCACAAAATAGCAACAGTTTGAATGATGGAAGTCGCGCTACCAAATTTTCCACTTATTCCGAGGAGCGCTCATTGTTTTAAAACAAATACCAGTCGACAAATGACAAAAGAACTATATTTTAGAACACTAATTAAAAGCGACTTCTGTCGACTAAAAAGTACGAATAATAGGTACATGTACAAAAGTAAAAGCATAAGACAGTGAATCCGGCAAACAACCCACGGGCACTTAATTAAAATTTCTAATTATTAATTAACCG